GTCCATGGCAGGTGGTGGAATGAGATGGGATTTAAGGTCCCTTCCCACCCAAGCCTTTCTGTGACTCCATGCTTTTTGCCTTCACAAATCCAAGCACCTATGGAAAGCCACAGGACCTGGGCTCAAGCAAGAGGAGATCTGAATACAGCTGCACAAATACAAAAAAAGGCAAGAGCCTGGGACATCTGCAATCAAACAGCACTTGTTTAGACATCATCATTCCATGATGCTTTCAGCCAGGCCCACCACCAGCCTCCCAGGACAGTGGCTGTACAGGCATTGCCCCCCCAGCCCATTCCAGCTGAACAACCCACCTGGGAAACGTCCGACTTCGGAGCTCTTTTATAAAGACCTGGCTCCCGTTCTGCACAGGCTTCACCTCTGTTGTCTGGCCAGTATCATGCTTATGCCAATTTCTTTTCTTTTTCACTGAAAAGGGAGGAGTTGGACAGTTGTGTTAAGTAGAAGATAATTATTAAAACATTGGCAGGAACGACAAATCTTGGTTTAATTTCTCACGTGAGCAGAGCAGAGGGAACCCCCCCAATGCTGCACTGCACATTCTAATATTGCTCTCAGTGCCCCATCAGACAATCCCAGTGCAGCCTGGAGATCCACCACAACATGAGCAGCGCGTGTGTGTTTTGGAGCACAAGGGCAACCAGACAGGGAATAGCTGAGCTGCACAGCTCCTGCAGGCATCGTGCAAACATGGGCTCTGGACACCCCGGGCTCGCCAGCCTGCACACTCCATTCTCCTCAGGAAACTCCCAGAAAGCCCCTTTCCTCCACATGCAGAATGGATCTTTGTCAACATATTTGTCAGGAATTACCTTAGACTAAAGATCTGTCCACCTGTGGCAGATTTGACATCAAGTTTGATGGTGGGTGTTGAGCTATGCCCTGGACACAGCATGGATGGGGAAAGGGAGGAGGAGGAGAAGGAAAGGGAAAAGGGGAAGGAGGAAGGGAGAAGGGGAGGGAGAGGAGGGGAGAGGAGGAGAGGAGAGAAGAGGAAAAGAGAAAAGGCACCACAACTGCAATTGTTAGAACCCTTATTCCCAGGATTTAAAGGGAAGTTATTATGGCTCAGGCCTGCAGGAATGACAGACTGAGGCCCTCCACTGTGCTCCCAGTGGGGGATGGACACACAGGCAAGTCCATCATGGATAAAGGGCCAGCAGGAATAAGCACATATTAGTAACTCAAGTGTCGATGGTTCTGCCCTGCCTCTGACAGTCAGATATCACAGAGCTGGAAAAACTGGTCCCACTTTTTCCCTGAGTCAGCACTATCTCCCTCAGCTGTTCCCACTCATTTTGGTAGGAAATTGGTTTTTTCCATATTCATATAATTTAAAGCCTCTGTTAATAGAATTTTCATGTCACAACATACTTTTGTTTTCCACCCTTGCTTTACATCATGAATCTCAGTATTTTACCCCAAGTCCAGACCTCTTACCAAAACAGTGAGGGAAGGCAGCAGAATCCTCACAGATGGCACCTGCTCTTCACTCTTTGCACACACACACACACACACACACACAGAGATCCACACACTTTTCCATTAGGAAAGGAATCTGGAGGCCACAGCTATAAGACATGAGATTTGGAAAGAGCTAACTCTGCTTTCCTGACCACAATCCTGGAATAACTCAAGGAAAGATATCTCCCAGTGAGTCCATCCCAGGTTTTGCACAAAGCATGTTGGGTTTATTAGTTCCATGCAGGCTCCAGCCTAGCTGGAGATATTCATTAAAGCTGCTAGTTCTTTATCTTAATGACTCTCAGGCTTAGTGTATTAATTCAATGCTCCTGGTAACAAAGGAAACAAGCCTGGCTTGAATGCCAAACCTTCCTCCTCTCCCTCCCTTTCCAAACACTGTCTCCTCCCCCTCCCAGCACATAGGAATCAACACCAGGAGCGTGTTGATTGCACTTGCACTCTGAGTGCAAGTCCCAGGGAAAGAGGTGTCACTTATCACAAGGAAAATTAAGGAGCTTATCCTATGAGCACGTTTTTTATTACACCTCAGATAGGACGGAGCGTCGGGAAATAAAAGCGACAAAGCAGAGCTGAATTAAGGGATTCACTGCAACTCTTCCAAAACCTCCAGGAAGTTATTTCCCTCAGCACAGAGCGCTGGCAGGCATCCACCTCTCCCATTTACCTCTCCCACCCACCTCTTGTATCCACCTCTCCCATGCACCTCTTGTATCTCCCCCTGCCACCCACCTCTCCGTTCCCCTCTCCCTCAGAGGCATCTCAGATGAACATTCTCCAGGAGGGGCTGTGTCCCAGACAGCTGCAGCCCATTATACTACATCAAACACTACCTTTGGCCTATTTTCAGCCATTCTTTCTGTGCTTCATCTTTACCATGATCACCCCAGCAAGGACTAAAGGCCCATTCCCATGTGCAACAGATTCCAGCTTTGGCCAGAAAAGCTGCTTTTTCAGAAATGATCACAGAGTTCTCTCTCTGCAGAACTTTCTGATCCAAATTTGACCTTTGGAAAGTCCAACAGTGGAAAAAAAAGGAATATATTTTTATGAAAACTGTATCTCAAAATTAAAAATTCACAGGTATTTTATTTCAAATGTCTCAGTGTAGAAGGGATCATGACACTGAATGCTTAGGAAGCATTTCTTCACTGAAAGGGTGGTCAAGCATTGGAATGGGTTGCCCAGGGAGGTGGTGGAGTCACCATCCCCGGAAATGTTGAAGAAAAGGCTGGATGTGACACTCAGTGCTCTGGTCTAGTTGACAAAGTGGTGATTGGTCAAAGGTTGGACTCGATGATCTTGAAGTTTTTTCCAACCTAAATGATTCTATGAATTCTATGAACTTTCCACTAGACCAGGGTGCTTCCACTAGAGCAGGGATACCCAGAACCATGCTGTGAGTTCTCTACTGATCTACATTAAAGTTTGTAACTACTTAAAACACGCCTCAGTCTGACTTTGGTTCAGTTGCAGCTCTGTAACTTCACCGATTCCAAAGGATTTCTCCTGATTTTCACTGCTGCAAACACGGCAACAATCAAACCAAGCATTTCAAATTGTGTTATGAGAATGAGCCAAGCCTGCCCAAACGAAGCCCTCACATTTTATTGCAATGATGTCAGAAAATGTTGTATGAATATGGATGATTCTTCCCAAAGAGGAGTCCCTACACATTTCATTAAAAGGGAATAGCTCAAAATGCCATGTGACAGGAAGCAATCTTCTGAGAGCAGCCACTCACCACAGTGGTAACGTGGAAAAATGTAAGGAGAGGAAAATGATTTTTAAATTTGACATCTGGAAAACATATCTGGCGGAAGGCGTGCTCCAGAAATACACATCCATTTTTAAATCCAGACGAGTTGCATAACAGACAATCGGTGTCTGCCTTTCCCTTTGCTAATCTCGCAGTAATTAAATCCTACCGGTGAACTCCTGGTGCTGGAACGACTCTTCCTCGTTTATTACAAAGCTGATAGTGCTGGATAACGAGTTTAAACACAGACTGGGGCAGTTCATGAGCAAATGGAAGCGATCCCCCCGCAGACCGGCCCGGCAGTGCCCTGCATGCAAATTCCCAGCAGATGGAATGCACTGAGCCAAGCTGGTCCTGCCTTCATTTCATCTGTCTTTTAACTTCCCTGGCCTGCTGTACCCTGCAAGGAGGGGCTACAGGGTAACAGCCTCCTTTTTCCACAGGATTCTACAGGTTAGTGAGGGAATTGCTATGCAGCTTGTGACTTTGCCTCCAGGACTCAAGGTAAGGTTAGCACTAATTAATGTATAAATGGAATTTGTGCACTCCACTTCTTTGATGGTTGGTCTCACACATGGTTAAACTGCCTGTGATGTATTTGAAGGGAGAAAACAAAGTGGCATTGCTGTCCTGCAGGACGGGGTGTTGGTCTGTGTTCCCAGCACACTGCATCCCCAGCAGCATGGGCAGCAGGTCAAGGGAGACCTTGTGGGACCCCACCTTCAGAGCTGCCTCCAGCTCTGGGGTCTGACATCAGAAGGACGTGGAGCGAGTCCAGAGGAGGCCACGAAGATGCTCTGAGGGCTGGAGCCCCTCTGCTCTGGAGCCAGGCTGGGAGAGCTGGAGAGGGACTTTCAACAAAGGCCCAGAGAGACAGGACAAGGGGGAACAGCTTCCCACTGCCAGAGGGCAGGATTAGATGGGATGTTGGGAAGAAATTCCTCCCTGGGAGGGTGGTGAGGTCCTGGCACAGGTTTCCCAGAGAAGCTGTGGCTGCCCCATTCCTGGAAGTGTCCAAGGCCAGGTTGGACTGGGTTTGGAGAAACCTGGGCTAGTGAAAGGTGTCCCTGGGATGGAAGAGGGTGGAACTGTGCTCCAGCAGCAATTTCTGCTGGGCTGTGTGACGCAGGCTCAGGGACGTACCAGTGGATTTTTATTTGGAGAAGAAGAACTGGAGAGACAGAAACCTTCTTAAAAGCATCAGAATATCGTTGTCCATTCAACTCTCATCATCTTAACTGGTATATTAAACTTGCAATCTTTTTATCACAACTGCCATTTCTTGCATTCTAGGATGACATACCCCAGTTTTATAGAATTGATATTCAATTCCTGATTATAGGCTTTTGCTGCTTTTGTCTGGGGTTTTTTCCCTTGCACTGAAAAGTGCCTTTCATCCTTCATAATTCAACATGATGTGAAGGAAATCAAAGTATCAGACTCATCTCAGTGTTATACAGAACTCACAGAGGCTGGAGATCCTGTGCTGCTGCTTCTGTCCCAGGTCAGCAACAGCCTGGGAGCATCTGCAGTCACCCCCCCTTTTCAGCACAACCCTTTCCAATCCCAAATTACTCACTTCAATACGATTTGTGGTTATTTGTGGGACCAATTTCCAGAAATCTTCCAACAAAAACTAGAAAGGCTGATTCTTCTAAACCAGAACATTTTGTAGGGACATATTGATTTCATTAAGTCTTTCAGAACCAGCCTCCCAAGGGGCATTTTGCCAGCTTCCCAGTTTGTGGGTTCCCTGTTCAGACCCCAGTTGTTGGCAGACCCTCTGGGAGACAGGAACAGCTGCAGGTCATTCAGGTTTCCAGTTCACACTTGACTTTTAAAAAATCATAGTGGAAAAACAATTCCCATTTTTGCCCACAAAGCAAACATTTCAGGCTCCTCCCCTCTCCCTTTAGAAATTTTTTAAACTTTAACAAGTAAGGCAATGCACAAATAATTTCTTGGGTTAAAAATGCTGAATTTTAACACAAAAGGAGTCACTTTCCAGCCATCCCTTATTTCATACTGAAAAAGGGACTGTTAGGATTCCTTCGGCTCCTGCAGATGAGCACCCAGCTCTTCCTCTGCAGGATGCCCTGAGGTTGCAGAGCAGCAAGATCCTCCCCATCACTGTTGCTTATTTACAGTAACTGGTTTTCAAGTGAAGCATTTCATCTTTCACAGGGATTGGTTTCTTTTCTTTTTTTTCAGCCATTGTATAACAGAAAGAAATTGTGAATTAATCTGACCAAAGCAAACACATCCCACGGTTCTTTCCCAGACAAAACTCCCACTGAGATCAACTGTCACTTTTACTCAGGAGAACCTTCTGTGAAAGAACTGCAAGAATTGGCACCCTCAGTGCATCCTACAAGTTTGACTGCCACAGAAATCGCTGCAGTTCTATATCCAGGCCAAGCACAACAAACTGTTTCTTACTCTTCTCATCCACAGACGGAAAACACCACGTAGCTTCCAAAACTCCCTGTATTAGCACTAGCTGCCTCCACAGGGATTTTCTAGCCCACATTCTTCAGTGTGGGCACAATTCATGCATGGAAGGATGCTCATTTTCCTGTGGGACCAGGGACTGCAGCTCTCCAGGTGAGTGCCTTGCCTGAGCTCACACACACGCCTGAGGCCACGCAGAAGCTGCAGCCAAAGCTCCAAGATCCAACCCATGATGTCCTCCCACTAACATAATTTTCACCTCCTGGTTTGAATTCCAATATTTATGGCACGTGATACTTAGGGCCTTTTGCAATGACAAAAATAAGAGGTCCTTTTGCCCAAACACACAGCCCCTGCTGTGTGTCAGGGCCTGGCTGCACACGGGTACTCACAGGTCGACTTTCCGTGGGTTTTCTCACAATTTGGGCAATGATAGATGTCGATATCTGGTGCCTCTTCCTCTTCCACACCGACACAACTGGAATAGAAGAAGGTAAATATGACATTAGCTCAAGTCCATCTCGAAGCACACAATCAACAAGGAAAATGCTGTCCATTTGCCACTGCCAAGGGCTCCATCGAAACCAGGTCTGGGTGCATTGTACACTGGTACCAACAGGGGTTTTGTAGCCTACACTCCTGGTGTGGTGCTACAAAAGCTGTCAGCCAGAAGCCACCACCAGTCCACTGTGGACGTCCATGAAAACACGGCAGTGTCCCACAGAGTGGTTTTTTTGCCAGGGAGACCATTTTGTACCCACACAGAGTTTTCCCAGCACCATCCCACATAAACCTGATGAACAAAACACATCTTCTCTTCACCAAGGATGTGTGGGCAGCTGCGAGGGACCGGCGTGATCCTGGCGAGAGATACCACGTGCACAACTTCCATAGGTTCCACCTCTGTTTCCATGCAGGAGGATGAGGAGGGAAAGAAGACACACAGCTCAGCACTTCTGGCTGCCAAAGGGATGGGCTGTGTGGGGATCCCACTGGGATCACTCTGGGTGGCTCAACCCAGGCAGCATCACCCGCAGCCTGGGGGCACAGGGCATGGGCACAATCCAGTGGGGAACACAGTGCTTGGGAGGACTGAAACCAAAGAGCAAAGTGCTGAAACACCCCAGGACAAGAAGCTGCTGCACGGTCCAAGTGCCGAGCAGCCTCAAAGAATCCGGGTCCAGCACAACACTGCTCCTGCCGGGGAGGAAGAGCAAACAGGACTCTGCTCCTGCTGCCTCTGTCGGGAGCAGCCCAGGCTGCAAGGTACATTTCCAGCACAGAGAAAAGGGTTCAGTGGGGTGCTGTGAGATGCAGCCCTTGTGCCATGGCTCTGTGGGAGCTTAGCTAGGCAAGAGCACCCACAAGACACACAAAAGCACCCTAAGCCCCAATATGAGCAAGTCTGGATCACACCAAGAGCTCTCCGGGGGTTTCTCTACCACCTGAAATGCCTCCTTTGGTGCTCTGCAGTGAGCACAGAGCACCTCTCAGTGCTCCTCAGCCAGCAGAGAACCCTGACACAGCTCTTCTGCCAAGGAAAGGGCTTGGGCAGGGGTCATGCAATGCAATCTTCATGCATAAGGCCATGTTCTGCTTCCTGGCATCCCACCAGCAGTGCCAAGAGGCAATGAGTGCAGAAATTCAAAGTGTTTAGCTGCTGTTTCTGCCCTGTAGAAAACAGAGCAGAGGATGGTTGCTTCTCTCCCCCAGGCCAGGCAGCAGGGTGGGTTGGTTCTATCACATGCTTCCCAGAACCTCTCAAATCATTCTCACCCTGTGCAAGCTCTGCAGGACAACAACAAAGTGTCCAAATATGAGAAATTCGTATTGTGTGGATGCACCAGCAGCACCTGGTGATGGTCCAGATGCAGGGAGGCTGTGACCTTCTGGCTGCTGGCAGGCAGGAGGGTGCAGTGATGAAGGAGGGATAACCCATGATCATGCTCCCACCTCTTCCACAGAATGCCTCTGACCCCCCTGCCTGGCTCTGTGGAGCCCAGGGTTCTTTGGTGCCCTCAGCAGGGTGTGCAGGGGTACATGAACCAACATGTGCACACCTGGGGCAGGGGGGTAGCCGTTAAAAAGCACTGAGACCCCTCACTCCCAAAGCTCTGCTGACCCCGAGGCACACAGGGATGTGTAACATCCCCATCACAAACCACAGACACACCTGCTGCTACAGAACAGCATCGACAAAGCCAAAGCTGCAACCAAGCTGGGAAAGGCCAAACTAGCTAAGATACAGAAACACAGCCTTTTTATTACCATTGTAAATGTTTTGTCAAAATAAGATCCTGCCAGAAACCTTGTTGGGTATGGTCCCCCTGTTGCAGCTGCCAGTGTGGGAGCCAGCTCCCTCCCAAACAAAGCTCAGGCTGAGAGAAGCTCTGCAACCAAAGCCAGAGACTCTCTTGTCAATGTAAGTCCAGCCTGGAAACAGGAGTCATTATTTCAGAAATGTGTCAAAGCAACTGCAGATTTGGCTGCTATTTTTCATTAAACAGTTAGTTGAAAAAAATACAGAATTATTGTGTGTCCCTGGGCAGACAGCACGGAAAACTGAAGTTTGCAGACAGGAAAAATCATCATCACAACAGCCCGGTCCTCAGAGTGCAGTACATACAGAGAGAAAAACATCAGATTAGTAGGAAATACCAGAAAAATTAGCAGAAAAATACCAGATTAATCAGTAGAAAATTTAAACAAACCCTGGTAGATTGGAGCCAGAGTAAGAGAATGTAGAGGATTCCTCTACCCACAAAGCTGTGTCAGCTGCTTTTGCCACTGGATTCATCTTGCTAAGCTTGGTAAAGGTATGGATTAGGCTCTCTACAAGGGCTTGAAAAGCCTATATTTAGCTAAAGCAAGGAGATGAGACCCTTGGGCACTGGATGGGAGGAGGTTTGACCAGCTGTGGCACAGGGCGATGGCTGCAGTGTGGTGGGAGCCATTGTTCTGAGAGCGAGTCAAACATTTAACAAGAACAAGGCAGAGAAGTAAAAATAACTGACCTCAAACTCCAGCGGGCCCCTAGAACACACAGTCAACTTTTCCAGCTCCAGCACAGCTTTGGAATAAGGTTTGGCCACTTACAGCTGCTTGCAGGCAGAAGCTGCTGCCCTCAATGTGCAGGAAACTGGGAGTGTGAACTGTCCAAGGGATCCCCTGACTGATCTGCCTCAGGGATCTGTAGCCAGAATATCCATCCATTCCAGCCTCTGCCCCTCTTCTCAACCAGCAGAGCTTGGCTCACCAGGAACTGCCACCAGCAGGGCTGTTGGTGGCTTCCACATGGAGATAGGCACAGGAAACTGAATTTCCACAGTTAAAGCCAGACTGCCAGAGAGCCCCTCAAGACTGTTCCTGCCAGGAGAGAAACAAGGGTTTCCTGCCATCTGTACTGGGTTTATGTGGCAAGATTTGGGTGTCAGGGGGCCGTGACTGACCCTTGGGTTGGTCTAAGCATTTGCACCTGGGAATAAGAAACAGCAGGGGACTGCCAGCCTTGGTTGAACCCACATCCAGTTTCTGAAGCGCCTCCTTCTCAATTTACTAGTGTGTTTTTTCTCAGAGTGGTTAATTACCAGTAGAATAGAATCAAAGCATTTCTCTAGCTGAAAAAAACCAAGTCATCTACAGTGACTGAACAGTGCTGTCCTCCCCCTCAGCCCCCGAATTCCAGCACAAATGGCACTCTGTGGTTTGCATCTATTAGTTTTTTCCATGAGAACACACTGCTTTGGTCCCTCCAGCTTTTTTTCTCAGCCTCATTTGCCCAAGAGAAACACAAACAACCAAAAGACTTGAACCAAGCACTTGACTCCCTACAACGAGTCCAGAGGCAGCTGGTATGGGATCAGAGCCAGTGCGGGATCCAGGTGGTGTGCTCGGGATCCAGGCAGTGTTCTCAGGATCCAGGCAGTGTTCTCAGGATTCAGGCAGTGTGCTCAAAATCCAGGCAGGGTGCTTGGGATCCAGCAGCCTTCTTGGGATCCAGGCAGTGTGCTCGGGATCCAGGTGGTGTGCTCGGGATCAACAGCAGCCTGCTCGGGAGCAAGATCCCACAGTGGCCCCACAGCAGCATCAGTGTGAGCCCTGGCTGTGTCACCTTTGCAAGGGAAGAACTGGGAAAAGCTCCCAGTAGCACTGCTGGGTGATTACTCAGATCCGCCAGTGAGATGAAACCGGAGGTACAAGGGTCAGCAAAGGAACACTGAGGCAGAGCTGGCCAGGGACAGGCAGGGAGTGGGGGGCATGGAGCAAGAGCAGGAGCAGGGAAAAGAGCAGACTGATCTGCTTCATTTCTACCAGGAGTCCAAGAATCCTTTTCCAAAAGCACAGACATCCCAAACCCGTGTGCTGACATCCTGGCAGGCTCCTGCTCTGCTGCAGGAACTCCCAAGCTGAGGAGAGCTACACTTACACCTGGCAGTCTGTGAAGGAGATGGGGAAACTCATCCTGCTGTTTGCACAGCACAGGCACCATTCCATGCTCAGAGGGGTGTGAGCACAGCCCAGGTGTCCCCCAGCAACACACTCAGGGCTGGATGTCTCTGACTCTGCATTATCTGCTGATGCTGCTTTTTCACCGTGTGACAGGGAAGGCGTCTGGCAGCACCAAACGTGTCCCTGGGGAATGGACCACGTTCTCAAAGTGAATTAGAAGGAGAAAATTTTTCCTTGGTGAAGGATCGAATCATAGAGTCATGGAATTCTTAAGGTTGGAAAAGCCCTCAGAGATCATGGAGTCCAATCACACCCCAGGGCTGCCAAGGCCACCACTAACCCATGTCCCCCAGTGCCACATCTACATGGCTTTTAAATCCCTCCAGGGATGGCGACTCCACCAGTGCCCTGAGCAGCCTGTGCCAGGACTGGACAACTCTTTTGTGGGGAAATTTTCCCTAGAAAACCCTTCCCAGACATCCTGCAAAGCCCCACGCTCGCTGTCCCATCGGTGTTAACACCGTGCAGTGCCAGCTGGGAACTGGGGATGAAACTGGTGTGGAGGGCAAGGATGTGGGATGCAGGAGCAGCAGCCACTACCACCACTCACAGCTCAAGAAACCCTTCTGTCCAAACCCAGCAAAGATGGCCTAAGAGGTTAATTATTGTGCATCCAGGAATGCCTTGTTGAAACAATTCAAACCAATCTAATGGTTGATTTTTAAACGGTTGTTAAGTGATTTAACTCAGGTTGAGGCAGTATAAAACTAATTTGATAATGAGATAAAAGGGAAACATTATTACCAATGTGTTTGAATTTTACAGACACTGTTGTAGGAAAAAAATAATAATAATAATGACAAGTAAAGGCTTTGATATTGCATCTGTTTAAGCTGATATCTCACCCATGTTACAGGGACTGAAAGGAGAATTAGCATATTAGAAGCTTTTGCAGTCAGAGGCTACAAATTACATTTTTATTAGAAACTCTACCCTTTGCCACTTTAAAATGAAATTGCTTCTGTGTTTGCAGTGAAGAGATGTTCAAGCTTCAGTATTCTGACAAAGTTAACAATGATTTTTCTTATGCAGGCAACAATAATAAAAGGTGCATGAATTAAACTGGTTTTATGGCATGAAATGTTCCTGGGGTCCTTGATTTGCCATCTGCAGGGAGGTGGCATTTTATGTAGTTTTGGGAGAAAAATTAATTAATTGTTCTATCAAAACCATGTCATCTCCATTATCAACCAAAGACAAGTATAGAAAAACATGAAAAAATAAACAAGCAAAAGGCTCTTTGATGGGAAAGAAAATCAAACCTATGCATACAGAAATAGAGCAGAAGGAAAAATAAGCTGAGACTCCAACCCCTGAAACCAACCAAAGCCACATGCTTTATCTGCTCCTGAGGACCATTCCAAGTAGGTGAAACACAGGGTGTCCAACCAGACAATGGGCTTTGGAAGAAGATGGGAATGACAGGGGCTCCCCATGCTCGGTGCCTGCCTGCTCCTGGGGGGAGGATGACACCTCCTTCACTCTGTGCTAAATGCCAAACACTGACCAAACAAACTGGGGTTGGATACCTTCCTTTGGGAATGCACAGGTATGGTCAACCTGCTGGATAACATAGCTCAGCATTCCTCTGGCAGTAACAACTCCCTGCAAGAGCAACTGAGTGTAGCAAAGGCATAACAGCCTTTGTGTCGTCTCCTTTCAGTTGTGGACACCTTCCAATGTACCTTCAATGAGAAGCAGACTCTGTACAAGAAGAGCAGCTATTCCCTATGGATATGATGGGAGTCCTCTAGCAGGTCAGCCTGAGTTTATTGCCCAAGCCAAAAAAACCCAGCAGAGCAGCAAAGACACTGAGGGTTCACCAAAAGGATGGGCAAGTGCTGGCACAGCTGCCCAGGGAAGTGGTGGAGTCCCCAACCCTGGAGGGATTTAACAGACATGGGGATGTGGCACCTGGGGACATGGATTAGTGGTGGCCTTGGCAGTGATGGGGAATGGTTGGACTCCATGATCTTTTCCAACCTAAATGACTCAATGGTCTTAAAGGGCTTTTCTGTCCTAAATGATTCCATAATTCTATGACCTCCAGTGGGAAGGAAGGGGCACCCTCACCCCCCTTCACAACTACATCCCTGGACTAGTTGTTACATTCTGTGTATTAAACTTGAATCCTATTTTCAACTTTTACCCCTTAACCAGAGGCATGTTGAAAGCTCAGGACATTTTATCACCATTAAAATTGACCCGTCAACTCTGATTTCACACAACCATGTGCCCCCTCTCCTTAAATAAGTCCAATTGCAAATCTCTTTTATTCCCAGAAACAAACTGGTATACCAGCATTGCATTAACCCTTGGAAAGTGGTGATGCATTTCTCACTTTTCTCCTTCTCT